TCTCTCTCTCTCTCTCTCTCTCTCTCTCGACCTCTCTATTTCTTTGCTACTCCCCATTCCTTCTTCCCATCTCCCCCTCCCTCTTGCCGCTCCCGGTCATCCAGGAGCTGGTGACGCACTGTGCTTGACTGCACACGTGCGTCGTGCTGGGTCTTAAGAGCACCGAGTCTTGGAGCCATGTGCCGTTCGCGGTGCATTGGCTCCCGTGACCGGGGTTTGAGTCATAGCCTAGCTACAGCAACATTTTTCATCTAGCACGGATTCGGATGCGTCGCCCTTTTCGCCTTCGGGTGCGGGGGGCTTGATACAGCCGAGCTTCCTTCGGGAAGTGATGGTGCCCGAGCGTGGCTCGATGCTGTTGGTCACTGAGGACGCAGCCCCCGGCTTGGCCGCGACAGGCCGTCGGTTTTGGGCATGCAGAGGTCCACAGGGTCGCGGGCAGGTGCGGCTCGTCCATGCCTGCCCAGCAAGGGCGCCTGAAGTCCGGCGCTGTGAGGACATCTTCCCACCACTTGACACCGAGATCGAAGTGAGACGTGAGCATGACTGTGCGCAATGACAAAGAGTGTCTCATCTCCATAAAGTCGGTGTGTTTGTAGTGTGTTGGGCTTGTTCGGCTTGAAAGGAGGCTCCACGTCAGATCCGTCGAATTGCGTTTGGGCCAAAAGCAGGATCGACGCGCGGACCCTGAGAAGTGCTCGACACTTGCATCTTGCATTCCTTCTTGCTCGTCCACCACCCAGTTCCGTGGCGATCCTCGATGGCGTCGACAATAGCAGCAGCGGTGGTGGTGCCGCTGGGCATGCTGGCGCTCGCACTGCCGCCACTGCTTCAGCTCGAAGCGTCCGCGTCCACCGCCACCTCTCCTGCCTGGCCACCATTCGCGTGGCTTTCGCACGTCTTTCTCTCCAAACCTCCTCTCCTCACCAGCTTGCTCGACATCCTCGTTACGCCCAAGCAGCGCGGTACCATCTTGTACTACGACAATGCCTTCCCAGGCTTGTTTGCTGCGGTCGGACTTTCGATCCTCGGATTCTGGCTTACGAGCATCGCCATCTCGCGCACCAAGGACGTCTTTGCTGCTCGCGGGTTCCAGGGCCGCGACCTGCTCAAATCCAACGCCACTCCGATCCCCGAATCGCTCGGCTTGCCTACAGCCGCGGTGTACATGGCGCTGCTGTTCCTCTTCATCCCCTTCCGCTACTTCTCCTCTCAACTCCAAGGCGTTTCGAAAACCGGCGATGACTGGGAGGGACGTATGGACGGCCGTATGGGTTTTCCGCACCACGAACTAGCCAGCTTCCTATCTGCGCTGCTCTCCTTCTCGTGCGCCATCGTGCTTGGCTTTTTGGACGACGTGTTCGACATTCGATGGCGCTACAAGCTTCCCATCCCCATCATTTCGAGCATCCCGCTCTTGATGGTCTACTACGCCGGTGGGGGTGGGACGTCGGTTGTAGTTCCTGGCTGGCCCAAGGGGCTTCGCTCGGTGTTGGGATCGATCGTCGAGCTAGGACCGCTGTACTACGTCTACATGTCGCTGCTATCTACGTTCTGCACCAACAGCATCAACATTCTCGCGGGCATCAACGGCGTCGAGGTGGGCCAGGCACTGGTGATAGCACTTTCGCTGTGTCTCAACGACGTGCTCTACCTCGATCCGCGTGCGGGCCAACCGGGATCTCGTTCCAGCACAGAGCTGCTTCGTCGTCACCTGCTCAGCCTTTACCTTCTACTACCGCTTGTAGGCGTTTGTATGGGATTGTTACGGTGGAACCGGTATCCGAGCCGGGTGTTTGTGGGCGACACATTCTGCTACTTTGCCGGCATGGTTTTCAGCACGGTCGGTATCCTGGGCCACTTTTCCAAGACTGTGCTCTTGTTCTTTGCACCTCAGCTCTTCAACTTCCTCCTCAGCTGTCCGCAACTTTTTGGGCTGGTGCCTAATCCGCGTCATCGCGTTCCACGCTACGACGCTGGGAGCGATAGCCTGTATCCATCCATCCAATACTTTGGCTCTGGTACGGATGCGGATGGGGAGCTACCCAACACGTCCAAGTCACCTCTACGCCCCGCCGGTCTCGTTGCTACGTGGGTGCTCAAAGTTCTGGCTGGCTTGCGTCTGGTTCAGCTCGACTTTTACGATGACCAAAAGAGACGCATCAAGAGCACCACCAACTTGACGCTGCTCAATGCGATTCTTGTGCTGCGAGGCGTCCGACACGGTCCGCAGGCCAAGCGGGGTGATGCGCCCTTCACGGGCCCGCGCATCGGCGAACATTCGCTGTGGATGCACGCTATGGCATGCCAGCTCGCCGGCTCGGCGTTGGCGTTTGGCATCAGATACTGGATCGCTGCCGTCGTGTTTCCATGAACCCAAGCAATGATCAGTTTTCAGCTGTGGATGTGCGTGTGTGTGCGTGTGCGTGTGCGTTTGCGAGTACGAATGCAGACCTTCGCGCTTAATCTTCACGCCGCAACGACGTACGCGAGCGAGCGCAACCTGAGCACAAACGATGTCCTGCTCGCCTCCGCCTCGTACTCTTCCCCCATCAGCTGAAAATTGCAGCGCCGCAGAGCCAATTCTGTCCGCCGCCTGCCATCCACACCATCCTCGCCCGTTTGCGAGCACTCACATCCACTCACGACAATCCACGACGACATCCAAGCACGAGAAATGGATATTAACAAGCACCCTCTCTTGTCAGGAGAGGGCTTGACGAGCGCAATCGTATACAAAAGAAAGCAAGGCGGTGGGGAGCCAACATCGGAGCAGCCTTAGATGAAGTGAAGACAAGGTGCGGGGATCGCTTTGCATCCTTTTTGCCTTCACGGCATTATGTGCGTGCGAGGCAAAGAAGATGGAGGGGGATATCAATTCGGGGGAGGGGCTCCTGGGATATGAGGGTATCACGTCGCATTCGCACGCTTATGCCTCCTTGGCGGCCTCGGTCTCGGCAGCCTTCTCCTTGCCCGCCGACGAGGCGGAGCGGTTGAGGCCGTCCTGCGAGGGCTCGCCAGCCTGTGCCGACTCGCCCTTCTTCTCGAGCAGGTAGCCGTTGGGGCCCACCTCGCCCTGGGCGGCGGCACCGCCCGAGTAGGCGGGCACCTCCTCCTCCTTGGCGGCCGAGGTGGTGCCAGCGGCAGCGCCCGAGGTGTGCGAGGCACCGGCGATGGCGGGGGCGGCGGCGGCCTCATCCTCAGCCTCCTCGTACTCGTCGTCCTCCTCCTCCTCGATGGAGCTTCCGTTCTCCTCCTCGTCCTCCTCCTCCTCGGAGCGGTAGCCGGCGGCGCGGACGGCGGCGGGGACGATGCCCGAGCGGTCCATCTGCTCCGAGGTGGTGAGGTAGACCTTGGAGAGCTGCTTGATGTCGTTCCACCACTCCATCATCTCCTCGTGCGAGCGCGCGCGGAAGGTGTAGGCGTGCTCGCGGCCCATGCCGAGCGAGGCGAGGCCCTTCGAGGGCACGGCCGACTGGTTGCCCGTGACCTTGCGGCCCTCGATGTGGAACTTGTGGCTCTTTGCGGCCATGGTGGAAGGGGGGCCGAGGGTGCACTCGGGGAGGAAGAGCGAGAGCTCGGGCTGCGGGTGCTTGGTGGGGTCCGAGGAGCCGTGCTCGTGGAGGTAGCCGGCGGGGGTGAGGACGTAGAACGACTCCTTGTAGGTCTTTGTGAAGCGCTTCTTGCGCTCGAGGATGCCCTGGTGGACGGGGATGACCGAGGGGTCGTCCTTGCCCGGGTAGTCGATGGTCTCGGGGTTGCGGAGCGGGGTGTCGGGGTCGAGGAGGTGGTCGGAGCGTGCGGCGAAGGCGATCCACTCCGAGTTGGGCTGGAGGGAGCGCATCTGGACGCCGAGGCTGAGCCAGGTGTCCTGGACCTGGGCCGACATGCGTCCGGACCACTCGTCGAAGGTCTGCCAGGCGGACTGGATGGAGCGAACGATGCCCTCCTCAAAGTGGGCCGAGTTCTGCTGCATGATGATGATCGACTTTTGCAGCGCGTTCTCCTCGTTGACCTGGCGCTGGAGCTGGCGGAAGACCTGCTGGTTGGCGGCGTAGGGGTCCTCGCGAGCCGTGACGCTCATGGGGGTGTTCTTGAGGAGGGTGATGGAGCGAGCGAGCTCGGTGATCTGCTTGGTGGACATCTCGCGCTCCTTGGCGACCGAGTTGGCGAGCTTGCCGGTGTCCTGCTGGACATTCTTGATGTGCGCCTTGATCTCGGAGCGGAGCTTCTGGAGGTGCTGGACGATGGAGCCCTCGACGGTCTTTGCGAGGTTGGCGTGGTGGTCGGCGATGACGCGGGTCTTGTCGCGGATGCCGTAGTAGATGTCTTGGATGCCGTCCTCGCCGAGGAACTGGTTGCCCTCGCGGAAGGGGACCTGGATGACGCCGCCGAGCTTGGTGAGCTCCTTTGCGGTGTTGTACTCGATGTCGGCGATGCCCTCAAAGTAGCTGATGAGCTGCTTGGTGATGTGCTTCCAGCCTGTGGGTTTATATGAGACAAATGTCAGCTGTGAATGGCGTGACGTTGTGAAACTGTTGGAAACGTGGGTCTACATACCAGTGAAGCGCTCGATGAGGATGTCCGAGGGACGCAGCTCGTGAGGACCCGTGTTCTTCTTGATGAGCGAGGCGTTGCGGCTGGCCACGGTGGACTTCCTGCTGAGCGAGGTAGCCCGGGTGACGGTGGAGTGTGCGTCGGTCATTATGGGCAGTGACGGCGACGAGAGAGAGAGGGAAAAGTGGTGTGATAGAAACGACTGCTAGTCGGGTGATCCGTTGGGGGTGATGATGGTGATAACGGAAAAGGCGTGATGATGGAGAGGAAGAGAGATGAAGGGCAAGCGGATGGATGGCCCTTTGAGTTGAGGCCAAGCCAGCGCAGCGCCGAGTGAGCCAGGTTGGATGGGCGACAAAGGTGCGCACGAGTGAGGTAAAGTGCCCGAGTCGGCGGCGATGCGGCGAGGCGGCGAGGCGGCGATGCTGCACTGACGCAAGTGTGCAATCCGAGAGAGGGGGAGCCCTCCACCTCTCGATCTCGTCACGGCGAAAGAGCGACGGAAGTTGAAATGCCGAGAGGCGACTGGGAGACAGTTGGAGCGATGACGAACGCCTGGGCGCGGCGAGAAGCTCGAAACGGGGGTGAGGCGCGACAATTTCGGCACGAGAGCAGTGTGTTCCAGATTAGAAGCATCACCCAAGAATACTCATCGGCGTGCAGATCGCTTGGGGCGAGCAAACTCTGTCCTTTCGCGCCCCCGCAGCGGCATGCTCGAGCCGGCTGGGCTGGGCTGTGGCATTCTGCCCTCTACTTTGCTCGCTCGTCGGCATTGCCGTCGCTCGTTTTCGGCCAAGCCGCTGGCCAGGTCTGGGCGCTGCTCCGGGCCGTTGCTCGCCATCGTCACCTTGCTTGCACCCTGGCACGTTGGCAAGCCTCCGTGGCTAAAGGCAAAGGCAAAGAGCAAAAAGCGCACGGATGCACTCACTGTATGCACGTCGAGTCGCCGGCATGGCCTGATCGCAGCCAGTCCCTACTGTCGACCGCGCTCCAGACCATGTGAAGGTCGCATTCCACTCGTCCTTGTCGCTTACTCCCTCTGGGATGTCGGCAAGTCAGACGCGACGAAGATCCCTCGACATCATTGTGCTTGATCATCCCAGGCGGCTCTACGGCTGCTCCCCTCCGTCCGGTCCGTCTCGAACCGTCGATCCACTTTGCTACCCTTTCCTGGCTCGCCTGGCTCGCCAGGGTCCGCCTACACATCGAGCGCTTGGCTTGACCTTCGGCTGACTCTGCGGGCAATGCGATGCAAGACAGGCGCCTGGGCGGCCAATGCTATCCTAGTAGAGCAGTGGCTGTGCCGTGACGTAGGCCGGCATGGCCGCACTAACCGCTCCCCAGCCATTCGCGCGCCGACCCCGCCCAGCCTATTTTCGGCCGTGCCGACCATGTGCTGGCTGCGAGCGCACGCCTCGGCTGCTGGCCGTTGGAAGTTCTGGTGCAGATCATCGTCGCCCCGCTTGCTCGAGGCGCACTCCCAACAAGCAGCAGCATTACTCGCTGGCGCTCCAGCTACACCGGTTGCCAATCGGGTGAACGAATGCCGATCGATGAGATTGCCCATCTGCCAACCCGCGCGCGTCGCGTAAATTGAGAGCAGCAGAGGCAGGCGTGAGGCGAATCCAACACTTTTAGGAATTTTTTGCCAGGCGAGGAGGCTCAGTCGAGCCTGCAAAGTGCGAATCAACACTCGGCTCGACCTCATCCATGCTGTCAAAGCAGCCCGGCAGTAGCAACAGCATACAGGGCGCGCTGTCTCGCATCCTTTCGCTCGGCCACCACCACCTTGCCTCGCCGCCAAGCCTCCCCGCCCTGCCTCGACGACGACAAGGCCATGGACCAACCCAGCCACACCCCGGCGGCGCCTCCTCGCCCAAGAGGCACCCTCGGCCTCAAACGCACTGCTCCCTCGGCAGTCTTGGCTAGCACCAGCTTCGCACCGCCATCTCGAGTCGCAGCTGCACCGAGTCCAGCAGCCACAACAAAGAGGGCTCGTCTCGTGCTCCCATCACAGCATCTCGATCCCGACGACTCGGTGCCTCCACCCACCGCCGCCGCAGACCCCGTCCTCGAATCTCCCGCCAGCCACACGCTTCTTCTCAGCCGTAATGCCTCCCCGCACACACGCACCGCATCGCCAGCACCAGACACGTCGGCAGCTGGATCCTCCCGTCGTAGCGGTCCCTTCTACCTCTGCACATGGAGAAAGCCGCAAGCCAAGAAGCACAAGACCTGGGACGGCGACGCCATCCTCATCGTAAAAGACGCAGGCGAGCGTTGCGCCCTCATCTGCTCAGAGACTGGCAAGGAGCTTGTCGGCTCGGCACGCTTCGCACATGGTCAGCTCGCCTCAGGCGACGAACTCGCTCTCGGGGGCAAGGAGATAGAGGTCGACCGCCAGATCGACGAGCCCGAATATCGCCGGCTCGTAGCATTCACCCGCGGCGAACTATCGCCCGTCAAAAAGGGCCCGCCTACGACCGCAGTACGCACACACAAGCCATTCGTGGCTCCGATCAAGCGCTCCGCCATCAAACCCGTCGATATCAATGCGCTTGCACCCGCTCGAGCAGAAACCTTTTACGGCAAGCCTGCTCCAAAGCCAGCACGAAGCCACCTCCTTGACGAATCTCGCGTCAGCGGTCTCATCAACCCGGGCCAGGGCAGGACGCCACATCCCCGCTTCGATCCGAACGAACCCGGCGCCATCGTCATGAAGCGCCCAGACGCCGGCCACCAGGAGCGCCACAATCCCAAGGGTCTGCCTGTCGTCGATGTCGTTCTCGATCCACAGCTCGCAAAGGCCCTCCGTCCGCACCAGATCGAAGGCGTCAAGTTTCTCTACGAGCGCGTCATGGGCATGCACGCCGACGGCGAAAAGGGCCAGGGCGCCATTCTGGCAGACGAGATGGGCCTCGGAAAGACCCTCCAGACCATCGCCCTCGTCCTCACCCTTCTCAAGCAATCGTGCTACTACACGCCTGCCTCGTGCACCATCGAGCGCGCCATAATCGTATGTCCGCTCACGCTCGTCAAGAACTGGAAGCGCGAATTCAAAAAGTGGATCGGCACCAACGCCCTCAACGTCCTCTGCATCGACGAGGGCCGTGGCCGCCAGGACGTGGCGCGCTTCGTGCGCTCCCGATCGTACCACGTGCTCGTCATCGGCTACGAGAAGCTGCGCACCTGCAAAGACCTCTTCAAAGACGCTCCCGTCGGCCTCATCGTCTGCGACGAGGGCCACAGGCTCAAGTCCAAGGAAGCAAAAACCACCCAGATGTTCGACGAGCTCTCCGCCGAGCGCAAGATCATCCTCTCCGGCACGCCCATCCAGAACGACCTCTCCGAG